CCCCAAAACCCCAAAACCCCAAAACCCCAAAACCCCAGTAGATTTGACTAAAGTTGATGAAAAATATTAAAGACTGATCAGAGCATAAAAATGCTGACCAAGTTTAGACCAGTGAATCAAAACTATCAGTGGTCTGAGTGGTAGGAGTCATGTCAAAGAAGCTCTCAAATTCTTGTTTGCTTGCAAGCATTTTGTCTCCTAACAATAACACCAATCCATGTAAAGGTTGCGCAGTGTTCTTTCTGGATTTTCAAAACTTGTTTTTAGGTGAAGCTCAGGAAGCTTTTGGGTAGAAATAGTCATCAATAATTTCGATGGAATCTTGCTGTTTTTCATCTGTTGCAGGCATCACAGCTTTCTTCCATTCCAGGAATTGCTCCTGACGAACAAATAAATTATGACTAAGATGCTTCATTAACGAAGAAGTTTGTGTGTTAACTTCTTTTTGTCGCCTAAAGATCCGAATCTCTTTTCATACATTTAGAGTGTACCCATCATCCACATCTAAATCTTCCACATACTTGAAAGCAAGGATAAATATGATGAAGAGAGTTCTATATATAAAGTTAGAGTCTAACTTGCTTCTTTTGAATAAAATGTGAGTAAAAATATTACTTACCTTTTAACTTCCTTTATTTTGCAAAATCTTTTCTCTAAGCTCTGTTGGACATACCTGCTGAGATACACAAGATAGATCACAAAGCAGGATGTAGACAGGAATGGGTAATAGTAGGTTATTTGGTCAATAATTGTGCAAATAGTGTATACTATGGCCTCTGTCATCAGGTCATTCCATTCTCGTCCGGAATTATCTCAGAAAGTACTCTTCACTCACCATTTGGAGGTTGAGTACAGAGAAGGGTTTAAACAAAATTTCTGATCATTTTCCACCTGATAGTTTGAATTTCATACTCGGGAAGAATCCATTTTTGATAATTTCCCATTTGGTGAAGAGGGAGATAAAGTCCATTTATAAGAGAATGATCTTAATTTTGAAGAAAATTTGCAACCTTCGAAGTCTTGAATTGCGAAATTGTCTTCTAACCAAGGTAAAACCATTCTTATTACTCACTCTTTGATGGTTATCAGCATGCCCTCTGATATCTTATTTAGTGGCTCCTCAAGAATGGAGTTTTCTTTAGTTTGCTTTTCCTTCTGTATTTTCGGTTTTTCCAAAATTTCTCTCATATTTCACTAATTTGTTTTAAATCAATTGAATTAATATATCAAGGGGTTTTGGGGTTTTGGGGTTTTGGGGTTTTGGGG